AGCAATAATATGCAAGTGCTATATTAGTATATTATTATAGTGTTATATTTCAATTTCACAAAGAAATGTGCAGCATTTTGTCCAAGCAATATTAAAAGGACACATTTAATTTAGAATTTGTCTTAAATCTCATTTTGTAAAAAAAAAAAAAAATTGAATCGTGAAATCAAAATCGTGAATCGAATTGAATCGTGAGTTGAGTGAATCGTTACATCCCTATGCACCAGTGTGCAGCATCCACCTGGATGATGCGACGGCAGCAATATTGTGCCAGAACGTCCACCACACACCAGCTTATTGGTGGAGAGGAGACAGAGTGATGAAGCCAATCAGCAGGTGTGGGGATGTTTAGGATGCCATGATGGTCAGAGGCCAGTGGGCGAATTTGGCCAGGATGCCGGGGTTACACCCCTACTCTTTTTCGAAGGACATCCTGGGGTGTTTTAATGACCACAGAGAGTCAGGACCTCGGTTTAACGTCTCATCCAAAAGTCGGAATGAGAATGAGAAAAATTCCAAATATCGTCCGATATATCGCCCTTGGGTAATATATCGGTCGACCACTAATCTGTACATTACTTCATGTATACTTTTATTATTACCATCTGTTTATATCAAGGTATTGATTGTATAATAGTATCATATTTTGTTGGCAATATTTGTGGTAGGTCTGAAATAGATTTTACATCTAAAGGAATATAGAGATATTGTCACACTTCTGCTTTGCACCAGAATAGTGATGAGGAGATTTTGCTTCTGTTGTAATTATATAAACTATATAGGGACCATTTAGGGAAAAATTACTGATTGATGAAGAATAATGGCATCTTAACTCCTACACATTGAGGTTGCTCTTCTGATGTGTCTGTACAGTATAATTGTCTGTAGTCCCACAGTGATTTTAACTGCTGGGCTCTTTATTTTTATCCTCATTTTTCTCTCTCTCTCATCTAAATATCCCCTTTCGTTGTTCTAGCCTCAGTATGGAGGGAGAGTAGCTGTCATCTCATTTTTCAACTAGTCATCCAGCAACCAACTAGTCCGTTGGTTCCCAGTCCTCTTCCTGGCCACATTTTGGATGTGTCCCTAATCAAACACATCTATCTGGATCAGTGAAGTGTTGTCTGATGTTTTCTTCCTAAAAGTGCACATATGTGTCAGTGTTTGTGGTTGTGTTCCTGACAGGAGGAAGCTGGTTTGGATGTTCCTACACTTGCATTTCCGATGACCTTTGTGTGTGGTTTCAGTGATCAGATCACAAAACTAAACACTTTATTAAAAGTTATCAGCAAGCTCTATGATTTGAGGTATTATTCATGTCCATAGCACAAACAGTGAAGGAATAACACAATGCTTGCCTTTTATTCTCACCTTGCTGTATATAGAGAATAGAAACTTCATACATTACATCACAAGTAGAAAAAAATAGAGATTAAAAAGGTGTGTGATGTGCAGACTGTCTATGGAAAAGGAGGGGAGGAGAGAAAAAAGATAGACTGATGTCTGGTGCAGCAGGCGCAATGATATTACGCAGCGCTTAGGCTAATTGGATGTTACCTAGCTGGGGACTATTTTCAGGCGCTGCCTAATATCATTGCGCCTGCTGCACCCATGGTACGGCAGCAAAGTTCCTTGATATTGTCCGTGCAGAGGCTATTCTGTTTTATTGATCTATGGCACATTCATTTTGATTCTTTACACGTGTAATGATGTCCAGTGACTTGTTTGCATTATTTATGCATTATTTTATTTATTTGTAAGACTTTTTTTATGACTAAATTTGGTAATGGGAGAGTAAAAATATTTTTAAAACGTACACCGTTCAAACTAGGCTGCTTATGTTGAAGTGTTTGGGATGTGGCTTTTAATGATGAGACCTTTTTTGTAATCAGGCTCTCAAAAAGTATATAACAATTTGGATATAGATTTATCGGCCAACATATCGGTTATCGGCTTTCAAAAATAAAGAGTAATCGGTTATCGGTATCGGCCAAAATTTTCATATCGGTGCATCCCTAGTATATACTCACATATTCCCTTTACTTCTGATGAGCAAAAATAAGTAGCAAAATCATGGTTTCTGACCGAGACATAAACTAAACATTAAAAATTAAATTAAATTATTATTATTTTTTTTTTTATTTACTACATTATTATTATTTGTGATTTGATGTTTTGAAAAGGGGATGAGCTTTTTACTTTTTTTAATTTGTCCAATTCAACCCATTGTGACCCAGCTTCCTTGTTTATGGCCATAGCTGGTTAAAGACATTTTTACGATTGACACTTTGTGTTCCAGCTAATTAGGACATTGTGTAAAGCTCCACGGTGGTCACTCCTAATGTCCGTTGGTCTTCCTCTTGAATCCCTTACATTCCCAGTGCTACACCAGTGGCCTGTAGGTTACATGTTCACCAGCTCAAGTGTTAACCCGGTTCTGCAGCTGTTCACAGGGTGATGGGTCAGGTCACATGGGTTGTCTTCTTGATATCTCAATCCTCTGGAGCATCTCAGGTTAATAGGCTAATTGCTGAGATTCAGACTCGAGCTACACCCCAATAACAAGCCAGGTCGGCTGCGCTGAAGTGATTTGATCTGACCCGACTGTTGTGAGGTTATAAGCTACAGGGTGGAAATTTATAAAACATTCTCGGGTACCTATATCCGTCTGCTTTAAACATGACTACAGTTCATATAGTTTGTGGTTTAAGGTTACTTAGCATCAAGCAAAACTATTTAAAGATTTAAAAGCAATCTCATTTTAATCCAGTATTAATTCTTAAAATTTGTTCAGTGATGGATGTTATGCACTGCAATAGGCCCAAATGTATTATTTCCCAATGAATAGAAGCAAAATAGGAATTGAATCTGTAGCAGGCCGTTTAATGTCAACTCGGTCCAGGACAGCCGCTGAATTGTTCAGGGTTCATTTGTCTTCTGTTCATTCAGCAGGACCAGTTGGAAATGAACGAATGAGTGGACTCATTAGTTGTGTGAGGCTGGTGTGGGACAGGGGTTCATTAATGTGCTCAGTAATGTGGCCGGCAGAATGAGTGATGCGATTAGCGGCTGCTACACACACAGGCACATACTCGTTGAACCTTTGACCCTTGTTTGCTTCAGTCTGAACCACAGTGAGGAAGTGTGATGGGGGAGGGGAAATTCGAGAGCAATCTGCAGCCTCGTATGATTGGGTTTATTCATGTATTTGTTCGTAATTGAAGTTAGGTTTATGAATGTACAATAGCACATTTGTGTGTATTGTTAATGAGTAATGCATATAAATCTTGACAGAACATATGATGTTTGTGTGAATTTGAGAAACAGGTCCACATTTCACTCCAGAGTTAAAATAAGAAATTGTAAGAGTTGTAAGAAATTGCGTTTTAAAATAAAGCTATTATTTGGGTAATTTTGCATTTTGACATTTTCATGCAATCAGGCATATTTGACAACTTCTCATTGTCATAATAAACAGTAGAAGATAATTATCATTATAATTATTGTATATAATTTCATGCTTTACTTTTTGGGGTCGATTTTGTGTTTTTGGTCAAAAATACAATAAAAACTGTAATGCTGTGAAATATTAATTTAACAACCATTTTCTGTTTTAATAGTTTTAAAAAAAAATGTAATTTATTCCTGTGATGGCAAAGCTAAATTTTCAGCAGTCGTCTTTCAGAAATTATTCTAATATGCTGATTTGGTGTGCAAGAAACATTTATTATTATTATTATTATTATTATTATTATTATTATTATTATTATAACAAAGTAATAAATTCCATCCTTTGTGAATAAAACCTAATTTAAAAAAAGAATCTTAACTGACCTCTAACTTTAAACGATAGTGTAAAATGGTAAGAGAAAAAAAAACAATTATAATAAAATAATAAAATAATTATTTATTTTTAACAATTTAATAATAATTAATTAAATTTAATAATTATATATATATATATATATATATATATATATATATATATTAGCAGTTTAATAAATACTGCCTTGCCTTGATATCTAAATACTTTACAAGTCATATATGAGTGTCTTTCTTGGTCTTTCTCTCATTCTTTCTCTCTCTTGTTCAAAAATCTCTTCTTATTTAATAGCTCTGTTTCCTATCTGCTATTTACGTTCATTACATTTTCTCTCTTGTTCACTTCTTCTCTCTGCATCATCTAGTCACTGCAGTGTTGTTCCGTGTGGCCACTCTGCTGCCATCTACCAAAAATCCAGTGCTCTGCTGTTTAGATGTAGAGAAAACTGTTGCCGGTGTACGTGAAGCGATGCTGGTTTCAGATTGTCTGAAGTTACTGTTGTTATCTCGGGTCATTACTTCAATATCGGGAAGATCAGGAACCTATTACCTGGAAACAGTGAGGCTAGGCTATATTTTCAGACATGCTTTGTTGTCTGTTCCCTTCTGATACCTGATAAGCCCTGAAAAATAATCATCTGTGAGCGAGAAAAAGGTTAGGCTTGGAGGAACCTACTGATGCGCTGATACAGATTGATTCCATGGCTGTGTGCTTTCTTCCTTCTTTTTAGTCGTTTGTTTTGAGTGACCTTAAAACTCACCCACGATTCACCTTCCTGTCACTAAAGAACAGATCGTTGGTACCACAGTGTCCTTTTGAAGTTTCTCTTTAAAAAACTGCTCATGTTATTTTTTCCCCCAGATTCCTTAGTTCTTTTTCCACAGAATGTGAATTCCCAACCACATTTAGAGCTCTTCCAGCTCTGGGAAAAGAATAGCTGTCTGATTTTCTCCAAGCGTAATGTCTCTATTTGTTGAAGTGGTTTGTTGTATTTCTGTGGTTTGGATGCTGAAATGATGGATTTTTAGACGTTAGTGAAATATCCAGTTACCCTGCATGCATAGCTTGAAGGACAGCGGCACAGCTGTGAAATGGGATTCATTTTGGTGAGATAATATGTTGGGAACGCTCATCTCCTGCATGAGGCACTTCAGATGTGAGATGGAGGTCATTTCTTGGTCTTCTGTCATTGGTGAGGAAATTAGTAATTAACGTCAAATCTATACGATAAATGAAATTGTTAGCCTACGGAAACCCCTATTTTAAACCTAGAATGATTAGTTTTACACCGGTTGTAACCTTGTGTGTGTTAGCTGTAGTTTAAGCTGGAAGCTGTTTAAATCTGACAGACATCTAGGAATGTTCTCATTTAAAAAAAAAAATAAAAACAGTAATAATTTTATTCACTAAAATAATAAGCTTATTATAATAACAAAATATATAAAATAAAATATATTATTATTATTTTATTTTAATATATTTTATTATTATTATTTTATTATAATAACAAAATATATAAAATAAAATAATAATAATAGTTTATTATTATTATTATTATAGTAAAAAATATTTTTATCCTAAAAATAATGTATGTATAGAGTTTTAGAATTGTGTATAAATAGAATGTATTATTATTATTATTACTGTTATTAAATTACATATTCAATTTATTCTTTGGTACAAAAGATTTTAGGATTTTAGAATGTTGGTTATAATATGAATATATGATACAAGTATAAAATGTTTTAATTTAGCTTGTGTGTGTGTGTGTGTATTTGTTTCTATGGACTACAAGAGAAGCGCATCTGCGTCTAGATGACTGTCGCTTCAGTCATTGGAGTCATATCGTGAACCGTTATTAAATGTGCTTCACCCTCTCCTGTTCGCCTGCAGTGGAGCTCACTTACACACACACACACACACACACACACATACACACACATGCACACCCCATTACATCATCCAGCTGCAGAAGTGAGAACCTCATTGGCTCTACTGTACCGCGGCCTGTCTCTCTCAGACCCTGAGGGAAGAGTGTGGGCTCTCTTCCTCACACACCTCATGCTTGCAAACAGATACCGAGATACGGAAGAGAACCTAAACCCTGGTCTTCTCAGGTGCTCAGCGGGGTTTAGAGAAAACCGTACTGGTACTGAAACTCAGCCCTTCCGTCCGGTAGCACTGTGTAATTCTCCCAGCCTCCACATTTAACCATAACTGACAATTCTGTTCAGATTATCCTAACTGTTCACTCCTGGAGAACACTGCTTAAAATTGCCTTGTCCTGTACCCCCCATTATTGCTTTAAAAATATGCATACAATTAAATATATATATAATTTTCTGTTATGACTTGATACATATGTTAACTTGTATGTAAATTAAAAATAATAAAATACTTAATGTTTATGAAATAAATAATTTAATATCATTAATAATAGTAATGTTAATTTTAATATATAATATTACAACTTGAAGTTCAGCTATTACTATATATAATCCTGTATGACTCTCCTAGAGTGCAAAAGAAGAGGTTTAGCAGAATGTCTGAGCTACTCTATTCCATACAATGAAAGTTTATTGGGACTAGGGACTTTAAATGCATCATTAAAGTGGTCCACGCAACTCATGTTTGTGTTCTATTACTTTTGAAGCCATATGATTAGGGTTAAAAAATCTGACAAAAATCTGACAAATCTACATTTTTGGATGAGATATTTCTGTAAATTGCTGCAAATAATCTGCAGAAGCGTCCATGTTTTCATTAGATCACGTGGTCTGATGTGCACAGTAGCAGTGGTGGAAAAACAAACCTTCCAGTGGGATGCATGGAAAAAAAAAGAGAAGGGGAGGGAAAAAGAAAGGTGTTCATTTGTACAGTGAGTGGCGCTGAGACACCACAGGGAAGCATTGCAGGAAAATGGATAATAGACATCATCTCTATAATATCTCAGCTGTGTGTGTCTGTGTAGGAGGGATCGGCTCCTTCAACCATATTTCATGCTTAATTAGCAGCCCTGGGATGGAGGGATAGTAGGAGTGGAATTAAAGACAGCATGTCTCAACTGAACCATCCATGTCCGTAATGCTTTACTAGCGAGTATTGTGCCATACCCGATTCTTCCAGCATTTGTCCTGCTCTGAAATAGATACTTGTAGATCATGAACTAATACCCTATTATTTCTTAAGTTATTTACATGATTTCTTTCAGCTGAGAGGAAAAAGGTAAATTATGTAATCCAAGCAAGGTTATGTTTTCGCGCTCTGAGAGACCAAAGTCAGTCTGCTGGCTATACATGACTAACTCAACTTTGGCACAGACTCACCAAACCTAGTCAACTCAAACCTGTGAATCATAAAAACAAATGAACAGAAGTGATGCTTCATCCAGGTTGCTGCTGATCTCATGCAAAGTGCTTGAACGAGGTCCAGCGCTCGAGGCGGTTTCTGCTCATACCAAGAACAGAAGAACAAATGATGATGTTTCTGGACTGTCTTTACATTCAGTTAAATACATGTAAAAGAGTCTGAAAAGGACAATGTGAAATTGATATTCATGGGCCTTAAATACACCAGATGCAAACTCAAATTTCCCATTTGAGCACGATAGCTCAAGAAAACCGAGCATGCACAGTATGCTAACCGCTAGACCAAGGCTCTGATGATGATATGCTTGCATGGATTCTAAATTCTGTTCTGTCGTTTTGTTTTTCAGGATTTCGTAGGAATGAAGAGATGAAAGCAATGGAAGTTTTGCCCATTCTAAAGGAAAAAGTGGCCTTCTTGTCAGGTGTGTTGTTATTTTGAGTGCTATTGTTGCTATAACTATGTGTCTTTTATATGTCTAGTGGTCATAACATACTTTCTCAGAAGGAAGTACTCTACATATGGTCAACAAGAGTGTGTATCTTCAGTATTTCCAGTACAGAAAAGCAATGTTTTAGTTTGAAAAATTGAAAAATGCTCATACCTGTACACAGGAATAATCCAAAAGTATAGTATGGAAGCAAGTTTCCATCTAGACTAAAAAATATAAATAAAAATTTAAAAAAAAAATTTGTGTTAGTCACATTGTGGTGTATAAAGCTGCAATTCCAAGAAATAAAAATTTATTTTATTTGTTATTAAAAAGGCAAAAAAGGCTTCCATAGGATCAGGAAATGACCTGAATTGGAAATTTTGGATCACATCAGTGTTATTTTAATATGACTGACTTATTATTGTAGTATTTATTAATATTTTGAATTGGCTTTCATTTTTGATTTTCAGTTTTTAATTTTAGTTCATCATTTTGTACAAGTTTGTAATTTTGTTATGTGCTTTTGTCATTTGTATTAGTTTTTGTTTTAAATATTTCTATTTCGCTTCAATTTATAACTATTTTAGTTTTAGAAGTTTTACTTTAAATTGAAATACTTATTTTATTTCAGGTAGTTGCCAAAGCAACATTTAAAAATTTTATTTAAGATTTAGTTGTTAAAAAATATGATTTTTTTTCAGGTTTATATCAATTATAACAACCCTTGATCACAATCACAGGACCACGTGTTTTTGACCCAGAATAACTTTTACTGAATATTACTGTAACTTCCCAAAATATTTTTAGTTGGTGTGTCATTGTAATTTGATTTAGACTGTAAAAAGCTCTCCCTCTCACTTGCTCTCTGAGCTTCTGTTTGGCAATTTTAGTCGTACGACTAACAGACCAGCACTAAAATGACTCAGAAACAAAAGCTGCGTCTCCATAGGGATGAGCAACCGTCACACACATGTCCCATGATACAACAACAAGCACAATCAACAGGCATGAGAGTGTGCTTAAAAAATAAAGAACCGAGCGGAGGAACTGAATCTGCAGAGCCCCAAGTGTGAACACCCAGCGATTTTTGCACAAGCATGCAATTATGTGCTTTTTATTTATTTATATTCCTTAACGTCAGAGGATAAGATGTATTATCCTATTACAAACATACTCCATTAGTGAGATTCAGCATATTCGCTGGAGAAAATCCTCATGGATATCCCAGTTGCTCAGTGAGTTTGTTGTGCTGGAGTTGAGGCCTTTTTGGCTTAGTTAACACAACCTGTATGAACTGGAGCCGTGAGAGGAGGATCAGTGGGAGCAACACATTGATTACTTATTTCTCAATGCTAATGAACTGGGGTTTGGTTTATGACTATGACCTGGGTGATTCAAGAAGTTGTTATTGGTTAAAGTTGAATTGTGATGTATTTGTGCAGGTCTACATTATCTTCACTGTTGGTCCACAGTTGTATTTTTAAAGGCATATTTCACCTAAAAATTAAAATTGTCATAATTTACTCACCCTCATGTCGCTCCAAACCTGTATGAGTTTCTTTATGTTGAACATAAAAGAAGATATTTTGAAGAATGCTGGTAATCAAACAGTTGATGGTCCCCATTGACTTCTATAGTAAGGAAATAAATACTATGGAAGTTTGGATTTTCAAATTTCTTCAAAATATTATCTTTTGTTTTTATAATTTGGGCAGTGTTATGCAAATCTTCCCACACAGTGACGTAGACATGTGGGGGCGTGTTAGAACGAGCCATTTTAGGAGGGCGTGGACCAGTCTTAACTTTTATAAAGAATATCTCTTTGGGTTTGAGACTTTAGTCTTTGCAACTTTAGGGATCTTATCTATTCACAAACAGCTTTTACACTCCAAAGAGAAAGGAAAACTTGAAATCGCATCATATGACCCCTTTAAAATTTGTTGGCTTTGTTACAAAGTGAAGCATGATAGCTTTAGCTGAAAGCTTCAAACTAAAATTTAATTTACTCACCCTCATGTCTGTCCAAACCGGTATGACTTTTTTTCTTCTGTGGAACATAAATTTTTTTTTTTTTTTGTCCGTGCAATGAAAGTCAGTGGGATCGAAAGTCCAATGTTGTTTTGGAACTCATTCACTTTCATTATATGGTCAAAAACTATTAAAAAATATATTCTCTTGTTTTCCACAGAAGAAAAAAAAAAGATTTGAAATGATGCGAGTAGGAGTTAAACGGGTCCTATTATGCTCTTTTACAAAGTCTTGATTTTGTTTTGGGGTTGTACTACAACAGGCTCTCATACTAGGTTGTTTGAGGAAAAACATTATTTTCCCACATATTTTACATTATTACAACACCTCTCTCCCAAGTCTGGCATGAACGGCTCGAATAGTTCCTGTATCAAATGAAGGCCCGCCTTCTGAAATACAAAATGTGCTGTGATTGGTTAGCTGGGCCAGTGCGTGTTGTGATGGCAGCACTCGGTGCCTGGTCGGGAAACATCGTGCCCCTTACCGTAACCGCCTGCTGCGAGCTTCAGTGTAAATATTGCGTCAAAATCAAATCAATTTGAGCACGATTTAAACCCGGATGATTGTAACCACTCTAAGTTCATCTGCCTTGGGAAAGCTAGCGTGTCCCCGACATAGTGATAACACTCGTTGCCTTCTCTAGTGCAGCTCAACCAGGTCTCGTCCCATTTGTCGATATTTGTGATATCACAAATCCCGGAAAATATG